GGGAGGCCTCACTTGAAACAGTCTGATTTGAGCTAAGATCTTAAGGAGCTGAGGCAGACAAGCAGCATTCCAAGAAAAGAAAAGAAAGAGTAAGTGCCAACACCCTGAGTGTGGAGTGTGCCTAACATGTCCGGTGAACAGCAAGAAGTTGGTCAGTATGATGGGAACAGAAAGCACCAGAGGGAAAGCAGCCGGAGAAGATGAGATCAAAGAAGTAATGAGGAGAGATGCTGGAGCATTTCGGGTAGAGAAATAACATGAGCTGAATCGTTTTTTGAAAAGATCACTTTGGCTGCTATGTTAAGAACCCAGTATTTGAGAGGGAGGTAAAAATGGAAGCAAGGAGACCACTTTGGAGACTATTATACGACAATTACCCAGCTAAGAGATGGTGGCTTGGTAGAGACAATAATGCATGGTCAGACTTTGAATATATTTTAAAGATAGAGCCTATAGGATTTGCTGACAGACTAAATTTGGTCTATGAGAGAAAGAAACACATCAAGGATAACTCTGAAAGTTCTGACCTCACCAACTGGAAGAAATGAGTTGCTCTTTACTAAGAAAAGGTAGTGTGGGAGTAGTAGGTTTGGAAAGGATATCAAGAATTTGGTTTTGGTCATGTAGAATTGGAGATATCCAGTTGACATCCAAATGGAAACATGGAATGTGTAACCGAATACAAAATACAGAGGTCTAGGTGTTAAGATAAAATTTGGGGAGTTATTAGTCTGTGTATATATATGTGTATGTATTTTTGTATATAGAACTGAATGAAAGGGGTAAGTAAAAAAAGAGAGAAGTCCAAGGCGTGAGCCTTAAGATACCCTAACATTGAGAGGATAAAGAAGAGAAGAGCTGGTGTGGCTGAAAGGAATGAGCAGTGAGAATGAAGGTAAATTAGGAGAGTGGTACCCTCAAAGCAAAGTGAAGAAAGTGGTTCCAGAATCATAATGATCAACTCTGTCAAATAAGATGAAGACTGAGAAATGACCCCTGGACTTAATGTCAAGAGTGCTGGTGACACTGATTAGAATGGTTTCAGTGGCTCACAAACATGAATTTAAGAGAAAATGGGAAGAGATGTAGAGGTGTAATACAGACAACTGTTTCAAGGAATTTTACTACAAAGGACCAAGAAATAGAGGAGTTGGAGTTTTTTGATTTGTTTGTTTTTTAAAGGTAGAAGAAATTATAGTATGATTGTATGCTCATAAAAATGATCCAGTAAAAATGTTAAAATTAGTAATGGAAGAGAGAAAGAAAAGAAATGCAGGCAATGTCCTTTAGTAAGTGAGAAGAGATGCAATCTAGTGAACAAGTGGAAGAGTTGAACTTAGAAAAGAACAAAGATAATTCACCTGTAGTTACTGGAGAGAAAGAAAAGGACATCAGCAGGTGGGTAGATGTTATTGTGAGAGGTTGTGGAGAGAAATGCCTCACTTAAGTCTACGATAGGGGTTGGCAAACTACAGCCAACAGCCAATTCTGGCCTGCTGCCTATTTTTGTAAATTAAGTTTTATTGGAACACAGCCACATTCATTCATTTACATATTGTTTATGGCTGCTTTGGTGTTACACAGCTGCTGATAGGTACAACAGAAGCCATATGTCCACAAAGCCTAAAATATATACTACCTGGCCATTTATAGCAAAAGTTTGCCAACCCTGGTATATTGGAATCTCTGTTAACTCTTTGAGCTGAGGACCAAATAGAAAAGAAGAAACAAAGGAGAAAGAAGAAAAAAGGAAGAAGATAAACAAAGAAGAAAGAAGATAAACAAAGACCTAGGAAACAACAGCATTTAGTGAGAATGACACATTAACCTATACATCATTCCTAATACCTGGAGCTCAGAAATATTCTATGAGTAATCAAACATTACTTTAATTTCACTCATCTCTTCAAATGTTTTTATAACTATTGCTATATTAGTTTTGAACTGGCTTTATCTCTACAGAGGAGGTATGGTTTTGCCACTGTACTAAGGGAGCTCTCAAAAAGAAGGAGGTAAGAAGAAATTAACTACATATAAAACACAGAACAGCATCGCAGGTTAATTACATTTTTTTTTTTAATTTTCAAGGTGGATGGTTATTAGCAACAAGATCTTTTCCATGACAAATAAATATACACCACTTGAATACACTTATTTTATATCTTAGCATCACAAAAATGGTATCACACTGAAAGAAATACAAACATTTTACTCAAAGAAAGCTCCACCTTAGTAGAAAGAAGCAAAATTTCTGCCTGGCTTTCCAAATACCTCACACATAGATTTACTTAAAACAGCCAACCTTATTTCCCATTACCTCTCATTCCCCCAAAATACAAATTGTTATTGTCAAACCAGTCTCCTCCCAATCTTGGATGAACACTTAATCATTTTCAACTCCATCCATTCTTCAATTATTCTTTATGCCTATCAAAACCCAATTCATAAGTCAAAATCCATTTGAAGTTATACCTCCTTTCAAGAAACCTTTCTAGACTGGGCCAGCCCTCACTAATTTCCTCCCTATCAGAACTCAGACTTACAACCCATATGACTGTGCGTTCATTTAACCTTTTTAGCCATTTGTATTATGTTTCATGTATATTAATCTGGACTACTTAACTAAACTATAAGCACTTTGAAAGCAAAGAGCTCCTCTTATTCTTATATATTACTAAAAAGCTAAGTACACCACAGGTTATTCTCAACACACTCTTGTCGATCTGTGTAACCTAAGTATATAAAAATGTGCTGTATTAGAAAAAGTCCACCATCCACTCAGCCAAGTATGTACAATCCTTGACTACCCAGGCAGGTGCACATACTTGTACATACTACTATGTATCCGATAAATATTTGTAGATTGAATGAAGGACTAAATACATGTATAATGAATGAATGCATGCATGCATGCATGAATAAAAGGTATCTTTTATAAGGCAGAGGGAAAGGGCAAATTATGTATGGACGTGAATGATCAACTTGAAGCTACAGATCTTAAATTCATAAAGGCCATATATTCATCAGGAGGTTTTCTGCTACAATCCAATTCAAACTAACTCATATGCAGAATTTTGGGCCAAGGGACTGGAAAGGACACCAGGGTAGCAGACAGAATAAAAAAAAACCCATAGATACCTCATACCATGGCTCCTGGGACTAAAAGTGGTACTCTATCTCCATCTATCTCCCATCTATATGGCTTCACTTTCACCTACTACAAATGCGGTTCTCATACACATAGAAAAGAATGTCACTAGCATCCTCCCAGATTAACAACATTAGAGAAAAGGGAGCATCTTTCTCCCAGCATTCATATATCAATTTCAAAGGATTCTGATTGGCTCTGCTTGAGTAACGGGCAATCACTGTTGCAACAGGGATGCCTGGGCTTGCGTTATAACACTGACTCATAAGACAAGACACCAACCACTCATAACAGGGGACGGATGGTTCCCCGAACGAAGAGATACTGGGTTGACGAAAGCAATATGCATACACACATATATATACGTCTTCTACCAGCCACAACCTCCAACAACTCAATTTTAATTAGGAATTGGTGATGACTTTACCATATTTTGAAATTATTTGACTTCCTATAAAGCCAATATTTGTTTTCAGCTATTACCACTTCACTTCTTGAAATGAGACCCACATGAAACCCACTTAATTTTCCTAAGCTTCAAGTCATGCACCTGCATTCCAATATTCTGACACTGGTTTCATGCAGTCACACCAATCATGATTTTAAAATTTTAGTCAGATTTTGCTTATAATTTTTAAGCTCAGATAATCCAAATCATTTTGATCTGTCACCATACAGCAGTCTCTTATTTACTTCGTTACACGTGAAGCTTTCATTGTTCACCATGTTACTTTTTTTGAGTAGTTTGGCTCAAACTTAGCAAAGAAAACTCTTAGCACTCAGCATTTACTTTCTCTGTTAAGGAGCAACACAGTACCCACGTGAATCTCACGGTAAGAGATCAAACAAATGTTATATACGAAGAAATGACACATGTAAATGAACATAAATGATAATCTGGTATCTCAACTTAGCTTTGTTGCTCTCTTACTGTAGTTGTTATATTACCTTAACTTTTAATAAAATAATTTGTACCTTTGTGAAAAATGGCCTGAAAAAAAAAATCCATCTGCTAGTAAAGTTCACAGAACATGGTTACGATTACTACAGTAATAATTTAAGTTGGTATAGTCTACTTAAATTATTTTAGTAGTTACATACACAATCTTATTCCTAACTTAGGGTTCTACTTATGGGTATACATTTGGTGAGGGGAATTATATGATACTGTGATATCCCCAAATCTATCCAACACAAACAGCAAGAGGCACTTGTGTTTCAAGGATAAATAAGCCACGTTTTTGTAAAAGGGTAAAATATTTTCCACTGAGTGCAAAGGTTTCCTTATTGTAACACCATGGATTTGTTGGCAGGCATTTTTCCTTCTTTTTGTCCAAACCAGGATATTCAGACGACTGTTTCCAGGAAACCAGTCATAACTTCTATAGTGATTCCTAAGTCCCTTTTCTGTCTCACAATGCAGATATCACTAATCACAATACAAATATACATTAGATAATTTTTATTTAGGTGCATTACTTTGCACTTACTAGAGCAAAACAGAAACACTCTTCTGGCCATTTATACAGCTTCAAAACATCTTCCTACCATATTTATCTCCATCATCCATTACCTAGGAGCCCTTAATGTCATCTTTATACTTAGAAGGATGATATAGTTAAAATCATCTTTAGATTTCTAATGCAATGTTGAAACATAAACTATGAAACAAAAAACTACTTTTTTTGCTTCCATTAAAATGAAAACCCACATGTATTTATTTAGGCCAAAAGTAAAACTATAACTTACGGAAATTCATATATAGGTAACTATTCCATTTTGCCCAATATTAAAACATATTAACTTACTACTTAATAGACTATGTACTATAGTACTTCAATCTTCACCATACCTCTTTCTTCAAGGAACAAAAGGCACACAATTTAATGCTTGGACAAAGCCACAATCAGGAGCAGTGATCAAAAGAAGAGATGATATCTGGAAATGAAGACCAAAATTTTAAAACTTTGACTGCAAAAACTGTCAGTAAAATGTTTTTAAACTTTTGATTCAGTTATGCTTCATAGTCAACGTATGTGTATAAATTTAGAAGAAAAAAATCTCTCTGCACTTAAGACAAATAACCTATCATTGACACCCAGTGATAACATGTCATAAATTTACAAGTCACAAAACTCAAAGCTTAGAAGGAAGCTTAGAATCAATCTAATTCAATATCTTCATTTATTACATGATAAGGAAAATGAGTCTTGTCTAAATTCACAAAGCTAGAACTAGAATCTGGATCTGATTCCAACCTAGATATCCTACCATGATAATGCTACCTCTTAATACTCACTTCTGATATCCACGGTTCCATGAAAATTGCTCACCATGTGAAGCCAATACCCCATATAGAACCGAAATACTCATAGCCTACGCATCTGATATAAGATAATTAAGAATACTTTCAACTTTAACTCTTTTCTTTTGCTTATAGTGCTTTGCCAAAAAACTTTTAGTAGAGTAACTGAAGGAAACTGGGCAAGGTCCAAGTCTTTTATCTTTAAAAAAAAAAAAAAAAAAAGCTGTATTAGGTGATCTACAGTACACAATGCTTTATCAAAAATAAACAGGAAAGTAAACAATAAAAGTATATTAAAAGAGCATGTTTAAAGTATATTTTAAAGTCAAACTGTAGAGTTATGCTAAAATATATCCCCTCTGGAATGTTTCAAGATATAAAAACTTTGGGATCACAACAGACTACACTATTACCAGGCAGGATAGGAGAAGATCTGAAGTGTGATGATAAAAATCGCAAGCATTTAAAAGCTCATACATTATCAATGTGCAAAGTAGATATTCACTGTGATTGCTGTCCTTTTATCCTTCCCAAATAACAGACATAAAACGTTTTGAATTGATACTTATACTTACTTTTCGTGGCAACAACAAGGAAAAATTTGGATGTGCAGAACAGGTGTTAGATACCTACATTTTTCTCCCTCCCCACCCTTTTGTTAATTTTCTAGATCTAGGATTCATCTCATTTATGAGAATTTTAACAAAAATCAACATGGTCTACTATGCTTACCGTCCTCATGAAATGCGAACACCCTAAAAAAAGTTAATACAATGCAATGTCTTAATGAATTTCAGGAAAATTCAGTTTTGCTGAAAGATAATGAACCCATTTCTATTGACTTGCAGTTAAACTCTGAAAAATGTTAGGGTATTTCACAGAATCCATTTAAGTGATTTCTATCTGTTCAACTTGAGTACAATAACTTTACAGTACACTCAAATCAGATCCCTTCCTGCATGAAAAACAATTCAACCATTTCAGTAAACTAGGCCTAACACACAGACGTTCAAAGTTAACGAAATTCCCACCCTAATGTACAGTTTGGTGGTATGTTTCATCATCGTGACAACCGCTCAGAGTTCAACACTATTATGTATTCTTTAAACATTGACTTATTTTACTTTTCTAGTGTTTTTTTAAGTTTTGATATCCAAACATACCCAACGAATGTTTTCGCTAAAATTGTTCACAAACACTAAACGCCCCCAAATTTAAACCTAAAAAGAAAACTGAACCTGGACTTTTGCATTCAGAACGTTAAAGCTACCGTATTTGTTTCATTGGTCTACTTAAGAGCTATAACATTTTACCTTACATACATTCATCCTATATATTTTCAATTACCATAGCCATCTAGGAAGAGACTGTCTACTACTTGACAATAAGGACATCATGTTAAGAACAGACTCAAAATGGACCCTACAAGTAAGAAAGCCAGTTACAAAGAAATCCATCTGCCACTGGGTGTGGTTGGGGTCTGCAAGGAAGAGCGCCCTTGGCCAACTCTGGAGGAGGGCGCGCGCGCCAGAGACTTGAGCATATCTGCAACAACAAAAAAAAAGACCTCCAAAGACCACAGACTGAACCCACAATGGGGACGCCGTCGAGTCGGGGTGCCGTGGACCTGCGAACCTACAGCTCGAGGGGTGCGGTCTGAGGGGTACCCAAGCAGTCTCCACCAGCCCCGGTACGCGCCGAGTGGGTGCTTCGAGCGCCGCGCGCCCCGCTCCGTCCCAAACACCGCGCCCGATCCGCCCCTTCCTCCGGGGCTCGGCTGCCCCTCGGGCTCGCGGAAGCACACTGTGCCGCGCTCCCGCTCCAGTTCCTGGACTGTGGAAGAGTGCGGAGTTCAAAAAGCCTCGACGTAAAGCAAGCCCAGGCTAAAGGACTGAAGGTTAGCTCTGGCAGCCTAAGAGCGCCTAGAAAAAGGACCGACTTCTCTAGAAAAACTTTGCGACAAGTTAGGCGGAAGCGCTGAATGGCCGGGACTATTTAACAGACGCTTCCTATCACGAGAGGCGGAACCCTGAGAGGGTTCGGGGGGTCCTGCAGCCCCCACAAACTCGCCCTTTGCCCCCTGGCTGGCTCTCTATAAGTCCCGGCATCCTAACAGGTCTGGGCGGCCCCGCTCACGGGGAATACCTGTCGTGGTCCCCACTGCCTGCGAGTCCCTGATGGCGGCCATTATGCTTCCATCCGGGTTTTGCCGAAAAGCCGATCGCAGCGCTACCGGGAGCGCTCGCTGAGGCGGAGGGATTCGTGCCGCACCTGAGGCGAGCGGAAGAGGACGGAGGCCGGCAGGGTCCTCCCCCCACCCTGGTGAGTCTAGGCCACGGAGCTGGGCTCGCTGCTGACCTCTCGTTTAGCGCGTTTCACGGGTGCCTGACACGGCAGTGGCTCGCTCCCCCCCTTTGCTCACCAGCAGCTGGAGAGAGCCTACTTTCAATGGAATGAGAGACACACCTCCATTCTATGCTCTTCAGAGAAGACATCAGAAGCAGGAACTGTGCTCTTGGCAAACCCTTGCTTGACTGGGAATGGTCTCAACCCTGAGATTTTAATCATTTCCGGCTTTGCAAATGGCGTCTCCCCCACTCCTTGCTTTTGACATGGCAGGGTTTAGCAGCCATTGCAGCCCATGTCAACGAAGGAAGCTGCCACAAGCAGCACTGGAAGACATATTGAACTCCAAACATGTACATATTTAATAATTGATCTGAAAACCATCGTTCAACAAGGGAGGCTCTCATCCCCATCAAAGGAATCTTTTCCAACACTACACACAGGGCTGACAAAGAGGTCAAGTAATATGATTAGGTTTGCGCCAGGGGCCAGTATGGCGCTTCTATCCTTTAGTGGATTTCTGAAATGAAATCTATTAATTGACCTCACTTTTTTACATAAATTACCTTCCTTGGGAGGGGGTGGGGGTTGTTATGGTGGCAACTTTTTTTAAAATGAAAAAAATAACGTGACTGGAGGGGAGGGATATGCCAAAATATTAAAAGGGGCAGTGCGATAGAATTTTTGTCTTCTATTTTTTATGTTCCATATGTTCTTAGGAAGTATATATGCCGTTTGTGATTAAAAAAAACTTCTAAAATGTTAAACATTTTTCACTGTCTTAGAGTATGCTTTTGAAAATGTTGACATGTAACCATACACACGATTTTCTGCATCCTTTAATAAAAATGTACTCTGGAATCCTCACTCTGTCTTTAAGGAATTTTCTTATCACTGTCTACTGGTCTACATAGTTCAAAAAAAGGAAATGAGAGGTAGTACACATTAGGTGTGTTCATGTATCTTGTACTCGTATGCCTGTATAAAACACACAAGGAGAAATCTTACATAAACACCTAAAGGAATGCCAATATGCAACGAAGAACATGTTTACAAAATGGATTTTATTTTGCATTAAACATCCTCCTCCTCTCTCCCATCTTTATTTCCATGCAAGTCAGACATGCACATACATCACAGAGGAAAGAGAAGTAGGATTTTTTTTTAATAGCAAAAAAGATGATGATAATTGGGAACATGAACAGTTATTTTGTGTTTTGATGTAATTTTTGTTTTTTGTTTTTCACATTAAGAAATTTCACCCCTCTTCTCTGCAGTACATACATTACAACTTCACCCTTGCATTATACATTCACCTAAAAAATCTTGCAAACCTGCATATGTTATGAAAGAATTAGATTGTACGTTTATATCGGCCCCAAACTTGTCTCTTCCCTCTTTTCTTCCTCCATCTGTATCACACAACCTCCATCCAATCTCTTGCCCTCTTTTTAGAACATTAAGGTTAGCACATAAAAGGTAATGAAACACAAGGAAGGAAAGACGATGGTTAAAAGAAAGAGCGAGAAAGAATACAAAGAAGAGGATATTGAAACATAGCTTAAGAAAGGATTCTGGATTATTCTATACTTCACAAAAATAGTTAACATATAAGTGGAAATTACATGTCACTCTAGGGATTCACACCTTCGAATCATAGATAACATCATACCACAATAAAGTTATAACAAGCTTATATATGCATTTACAAAAATGTAAGCACGCTTTTAGTTGTAGTTTGTATATCATAAGCATTATAAAAATGATAACTGTTACAACCATAATTAAAGAATTAAATGATATTAATTTGGAGAACAATTCTCTCTAAATGGCTGTCTCCTTTTTGCTGATCTCTCAAGTCCACACGCCCTACCTCCAAAAATATAATCAAGTGTAACCAGAATTGGAAGAATAGAGATACCAAGAGCCTGGGTGATCTAGCTTAAAGTGCTCACACTTCTTGGTTAAGAAATTATAGGTTGATTACTCTCTTCAATTTATCAAACAAGTGTTAGTTGAACATGAGCTTCAAGTATCATCCTTCCCAATGGCCTCTGCAATGTTTGTTATTCAATATTTATTCAGCAGACATGTTCTTGAACACTGTTTATGTGCCAGAAACTGTGCTAGTGATAAGACATGACCCCTTATGGAGTAACAAGTATGATGGGAGATTTTTGATACCTAAAAGATTTCATGATTCGACACAGCAATTACAAAGGTGGGATTTCAGACACTGTGATAGGTGATGAGAAAGATATTTTTTAGGGTAGGCATCCCTGCCAGTTTCCTCTCAACTCAGACTTCCTAGATGACCAAGACTTTGGATATGCTATTTCTATTGTTTTTATTAAAGATAGTAAAGTCTCTCTTAATTCTTTCAGTGGATAATATATTCAACTGTGAAGAATGTTAAACTATATAAACTATATTGGCCTTACATAAATATTTTAGGGCACCTCTCCCTGTCTTAGAGAGAATTATGTAAAATTCTAAGATTCACTGTATCCTGAAAGCAAGAGAACAGAGGGCTCAGATAACTCAAGGCCTTGCAAAACTAAAGAGAGGGAATTGAATGCTAGTTAATTATATTTCTTTTAAGAACAAACCTGGTACATATATATGTTATATATACTCCTTTGCATACTCTTTTATATGAATAGTACATTTCATTATTTAAAGTTTTAAAAAAATAAAAGTATAGAGTTTTCCTTTTCTTCTTTCTTTCTCTCTCTCTCTTTCTTTTCATTGTTGTTGGAGATTAAATACTACGTAAATTAATTTGATGTTTTGTGGAAAGTTTTTTTTTTAAAAGGGTAAACCTAATTTCTGTGAGACCAGTGACACTGCATCATGTTATTATCACTAAATTACACTTAAGAACTTGTAAGAGTAGATTATTATGGCTCATTACTCCAAAATTTCCAAGTTACATCCATCTGCACATTTCTCTAACTCCTCTCTTTAAAAAAATAAAACCCTAAGCCCAGGTTGTTTACTTCTTTTAATAATGCCTTAATACTGCTATATATGATGCCTCAGAAGTCTTAAAATTGTATTAATGTTGTGGTTCATGTTCTGTTTTTGTTAATGTCGTTTGCTGGGAAAGTGGAGGATGTGAGGAGACAGGTCCTTAAAATATATCCTGAAATGTCTGATGGAATAAATGAGAAACAATTACGAAATTTAAAAGAACCAATAACTCATTTCATTTAGCTTTACATGCCTTGTTCCTATTGACATTAGAAAATGTCAAGGTGGTGAGGAAACCCTGGAGAACTAGGATAGCAAAGGATTTAAGTGTATAACACAGCAATAGGAAGAGCATAATTTGTCAAAGAGGGAAGAATTAAGTGCAAAGGAGGCAGAAAAGCTCTATTCTAAAACTTTACATATATGTATGGAAAGATATCAACTGGAAGTTGGAAACACAGAGAAACCATGTGGATGAATATAAAGGCACACAAAAACACAGCTAGGATTGATATGAGAATAGATTCAGCAGGCCTCGGAGAGATGGAGGAGATAAATGATACTATCAAAGTATAAATTACAAGAGTGGCCCAGAGTTCAGTAATCATTTTGGAATGCCTGCTAAGGGCCAGGGGATACAAAGACCTGCTCTTGCCCTCAGACATAAGGTTCATCTATGTTGAATACAGGGACCATACAACTCAGTTTGCCCTGGAAAGCCCTGATTAATGCCTGCTTTCCCTAGCTCTCACTCTTTCAGTCAAAAGTGTTCCAGTTTGGACTATAATTGTATGGTCACTAATGATAAAGGGAAAGTGCTAGAAATCTTATCTGTTAAGAGCAAATAATCTCAGAAATGTTTGACTTGCTTTGCTCTTGCTCAGAGAAACTAAACAATTCTTCAGTGGAAAGAAAGAAAGCAGAAACAGGAATTATTAAGGTGAATTAGGGCTAATCAACAAAAAGGAAAAAGTTGTTCATGATGTGATGGGATGAGTGGATTGGCCACAGTGATCAGAAGTGGCTTTGTGGTACCTGGTCTCTCAGCTCTGGGGTTCTTTCATTCCTCTCTCCTTAAACTCACACTCCAAGGAACACACACTAATGGACACATACTGACTATATGTTTTCAACCTGACCCAAATACACATTACCTGAAAGAGGAGCACAAGCTCCCCAGACACGTGAAAAGAAAAATTAACAGAAAGAAAGATATCAAACCAAACAACATATACTATATGATGAAGAATTATTATAACAGAAAGACAAATGTTTTAAAATAAACATGCTAAATATACTTAGATGAGGTAAGATAGTACATAAAGAGATGAGGGAAGATAGTATATAAAGCAAGAGCAAGAAATCATTGGAAAAATGTAGAAATATAAAAAGACAAGAGCAAAATTTTCTGTCTTATTTTATCAGGGAGAAAAACCTATTCCAATAAATTTCTCCTTATATTTTATTGGCCAGGACTGAGTAACATACTCTCCCCTGGAACAAAGGAAATGGCAACGGAAAACAGGATTGTTGTGATTGATTTAAATCAATTATGATTTATACCCTGGGAATGGGCAAATTGCCACCTGAGAAAAAATAGTAGTTAACTAGCAAGGAGGAGGATGCAATGAAACTTTTGGTTTGCAATGGAAGATGTTTGGCATTTGCTACTATCAAAATAAGAGGGACAGAAAACCAGGAATTATGGAAGAACAAAAGAGTACCTATAAAGTAACCTTAGCAATTCACAGGAAATACAGAAGAACATATTAAACTACACCATGGGGATAAAA